CATTCGAGTATAATATATCTTTAACATGCCATGAAAATTATGTTTTCGAATTAATCTATGTCTAATCTTCTATTTTCAAACGTATTTCTAATATAAGGATATGACCTTACTATATACAGTTATGAAAAGTTTGATAAAAGTAAGGTATATTTTATATCAAAGTATACATTTTTCTGTGTGAATATGCACAATGTCCAAATGAATTTATCTCTTTATGGCTATGATCAATAATATGTAGGTAAAGATGTTTTCCTTGGTCATTATGGTATTGACAAACTTGTTATGATGAAAACTAAAACTAACATTCAGTTTCATTTTTTCATTATGCAATATGAGTATATAAACGTTCAATTCTTCCAAATTGAACATAATGTATTCTGTTTTTATAGCTAATCAATTTATGTTGCATCTTAACCCCGATAACATTTTACGATGCTTCATATTGATAACACAACTTAAAGCATACTATTACGTAAATTCATTTTTAAACATATACAGATAATGTAACAAATCCGTAAAATGTTATACACAACAGGAAATATCCAAATCATTTATTCAAGCGATGATGGCATTAAAATATATTTAATACTAAAACTATTCATATTTTCAATACTAAGAATATAAACGCTTTTATGTATACAGTCTCTGTCTCTGATGTTTTAGTAGAAAAAAGTATAAGTCTGAAAATATTTAACCCGTTTACTTGATGACATACAAACAGAAAAAAGAACAAATAAAAGAAATTATAAATATAGATAAAGCTAAATTTCATAGTAATGAGAAGAAGAAGAAAGATAAGATTTAATTTGCTTCTCTCACACTTTTCAATATAAGCGATATGAGCGATTCAGGGCCATCATGGCTATCATGTTTTTAATAGTAGCGCATGAATTAACAGCTTCGTTCAAAACGAAATATGACGTCATCCTATAAACGCAATTCATTCATAGAACATGTAGAAGGCGCTTTAGAATGACGTTAATTAAAGCACGCCTAATACTGTCTAAAAAGTGTTTTGATAAGCTTATAGCTCCAAACACAATCGAACTAAAATACATTCGTATATCTCTGTTTAATGTTTAATAGAATTAAAAAATCTGGAAACAAAAGACATGTTGCATTCAAATCTACATCTGCCACAATTATTTTTCATTTAAAGGTTACGCGGGTGCCAAGGGAAATGGGCTGTAAGTTTGGGGAGAACGTCAAACATCAGGAAAATGCATTATCACAAATGTAAAAAAATACAATGAAAATGAAATGAAGTGTGTGATATATTGATCCATACTTTATTTTTTTAATATTTCGCAATAGTAGTGTGCTTAAATAGTTTGATTGTTAAAATGTTTTATAAAATTTTAAAAAATCCCTTGAATTTAAGTTGGTTTCTTTATAAAGGGTGAACAAAAAATGAAATAAAAAAGGAATAGAAAATAGAAATGGAAATTTAGGAGAACAAAAATATATTCAATTGATCATAAAAAAAACATCAACAGACAAAGAAAATATGCTTTTCTCTTCAAGATATAAAGTGAAATTGAGTTTGTATGTCTTAAAATTTGAGTAACGTGATCAACCTTTCGCCTCTATTTAAAATCGACATCCACTCATCAGCTAGAATAATAACGCTGAAAACGGGCTTTTGTGCTACAGTAACTAGGAAAGAGTCAAACATTTTTTTTTCAATTTGAAATTATATTAATTAATGGAACTTTCTAGTGGCCCTCATGCTTACGAAATCGATCTACGCTTCACTACGCCTCAACGCGCACATTTACCTACTCTGAATTAGAAAGAATCAATTGAGCATTTCAGAGAAATTATTAATAGATCTTGCTACCTTTTTATATTGAAAGAGAGTGCTGAAAATGGAAAAAACAGTATCTCAGCTAAGATACAACAAATAATTTAAATTAATGTATATTTTGAATGAACAGATTTTTACTCCCCCCCCCACACACACGCACGTACACACGCACGCACACTTACTTACTTATTAAGTAACTAAAAATCATACTTTAAATCCATTAAATCCATTGATTACGGTTGATGACGTAACTCAAATTTTGAAGACATTTAAACTTAAATACCCTTTATCTTTAAAAGAAAAGCATTTTTGAACGGAAGGTGACAAAATGTTGATGTTTACATATTGTATCTTAAAATGATTTTATTATCATGAGGAAACTTAAGTTTTCGTGATTTTAAAAGGAATGCTGCATCTCATCGGGAAGTGTGGCTATTCTCAATCAAAATTTACTTAAAGTAAAGCTTGCACCAGGCCAGAAATTTCTTAGCAGGCTCCTTTAGATGTTGACTATAAATCCATGACATTTATATTTTCGAACACAGTTGTGATACTAGTATGTTAGAAATATATAAAAACTAACCGTCCGTCAATTATGTTTTTATACCGACATGTATATACATGTACTAGTACTTCTTTCGATGCTTGAACGGTTGTCTACCTATTTGACTGTACGGTGTGATGTTGTCAACCTGAGAGTGTCAACTGGTGCAGTTTTGCATTCTCAACGTCTTGATGTACGGCATAAAACGAATTGCAAGTTAAACATTTCTAAATACAGTTTGGAATTTTATCTAAGTTGCATGTTATCAGCTTCCATGTTGTCTAATCGAAATAATCATAAAGCTTAGTACCAGTGCAGTATGTATCTCTGTGACCGACAATTAGATTTTTTCTAATCTGTTTATTAGAACCTACGTATGAGTTGGCAAGTTTCAAGGGTTGGATATTTGGCTATACCGTTGTGGAAGCATCAACCAAAACAAATCGTACACAGTTAAACGCAGTTTCTAAAAATATCCAATTTAAAAGAAATTTTATCAGTAATTTCGGTAAGTTTAATTTTCAAAGAAATACATTAACCCGTTCTAAAATCAAAAGCATAGGGTGTCGGAATGAACAGAAATTATTGTTAAAATTCCAGCCTTAAAGGTGGGTACCGTCTTCATTTTGTACACATTTTTCAATACGTCTTCAAAATTACTTCATAAGTCTTGAATGAGATCCATAATATCAAATTCAGTATTTTGTATTTTCATCAATCATTTAATTCTTATATCTAAAGCTTGTCAGATTCTTTTCCATTAAAATGTTTCATATCAAGTTCGTTAACTGTAATCAAATAAATATTTCATTGTAAGATTGATTAAAGACAAATTATGCCCCAGAAATGCTTTTATTTTTATTCCCTTTTTGGTGTCCTGTTATAGTTTCAAAAAGATTAATAATTGGCTAATAACCGGAGTCATAATTTTAGTCTTTTGTTTTCTTGAAATGAGTTCAATTATAATGATTTAGTATTTTGTATGGAAGTCAAAATACTACATTGTTTACATTTAAATAATTTTATTACAAACAATCTAACATGCTATAAAATCATTATTTAAACAAATTAAAACTCATGTTTGCCCTTTTCAAATATTAATAAGGAAAAAATATTCATTTCTGAAGCCATATAATACGCTGAAAATGTTCAATATAAAAAGGGGCTTATAACATAGATTTCGAAACTGAAATCGCAAATATTCATCGTTTACAGAATTTTCACATTACACCCTTTCATGCCTCATTATGTTTCGTTGCATATTCAATTAAACCCATCTCATTTATGTAGATATACTAATTAATCATGTAAAATACTTTTGCGCTTTTGCAATTATTTTTCAGACTGTTCCCTCGAATTTACCTTTATTAACAAGCCGAAACTGGGAAATAATAACTATAACATGACACTATACTATCTCAAAATTGTCACTTTATCATGGACCTTGTGTTGTCCTGAGTAGTGATAAGTACTTTGCTGTGCACATATTTTCAAATTTTGAAATGCTCACTTGGAAAATTGAAATAAATTGAAGAGATTAATTGACCTTTGCTTTCCGCGATGGGACAAATAGGATAAGATTTTGCTTTAAGTTATACTGTCTTGTTTATCTTGAATGGTTTCTATACTCTGTTACTTGATCAAATATTTGTGTAAGGGATCGATAATTTGGTGTCTTGGTATGGATGGCTATGCTAGAATCATTATCATTTAAGACAGGCGATTATAGCACGTTTCTTTATTTTTATTTGGAAGTCCAGGTTACTCCGTGATATATTTTACACTTCTTGTCAGTCAAGTAGGTAAAAAAGGATTAAGTATATTAGACTGAGATGAATTATTCGCACACCCTGTATTGCTTTGCTTGCGGTACTTGAGGCATACATAAGTGTTTTATCATAGGTTCCTAAAGTGGTTCTGTAAAACATACAGGGAAACATTGGTCCTATTGTTTTATATCAAACCACAGACCGAGGATTTAGCCTACTGGAATCACGACCATATCTGCTTATTTAGCAACGGGACCGGTTACCCACAGAATACGAACTTGAAAGGGATATTAAATCTACAAAATTTCTTTACACTCGAGCTTAAATGTATAATTATTATACTAAAGCAGCCATGTCTTGGATATAACGGCCCTTCATAGTCATTGGGAGCTTCCCGTCATTTTCTGGTTAGTGCTCTGTTTGGCTGGAGGCGTTTTATTGACAATGCTCCCACTTGTTGATTTTACTATTTTGTTTAAAAAAAAGGCAGATTATCATCAGTGTTCTGTTATATAGAGGTTTGTTAGAATTGTCCGTTGTATCCAAAAATATTCCCAGTTGGCCTCACGCATTTAAAACTTTTAAAACGTGCAGATATAAATCAAAATCGTTCAACAGATACCCGTTGGAAGCACGTTAAATCATTCATGAATTATAATTATATACATATAATCATGTGGAACAACTTTCTAGTGAAACTTCTAAATTAGGAGAACATGATTATAGTCAAGACCAGCTTGAAATGCTGTTTAAATACGCTTTAACACCACCAATTCTTCTCATTAAATGAACATGAAAATACTTTTTTTGTCAATTTCGCCGATATTGAATTTGAAATCAAGAAAAAAGCCAGTAACATATAAATTGAATTTTATTACTGTACCAATAAAATATAAATATCAATTTAGGCAAACACATGTTTTCTTTTAGGCGAACATATATTTTCTATCTTTCTATTCTTTTTAATAGGTAATTAAACATCACCATACTGCTACTAAAGAAATTATATATTGACTTTAAGGAAGCTGATAAAAACGTATCACTGTAACCTATACATGTATTGATTATGTTAAAGTACATGTGCTTTACCCAATAGGCAATGTCATTCATGTATCATATCAGTAAATGGATTTACAATTTTCGATGATGAGGCTGATGCAGTTAAAATGTAAGGAATGTATACCCTGTAGAAATGTTTCCATGTGCACATTCAATATATACAAGTAACATAATTTTATTGTACTCGTTTTAAAAGCAAATAAATATTTCATATAATTAACCAATTATTTTACTTTAGAAATTTCATCATTTGTACTCATTGTCTTTCCAGTTCCCATGCTATCTTGATAGAGTTGATTTTGATATCCGTCTATACAGCGTTTTCTGAAAAAGAAAACAGTTAAGGTGACAACGGAGTCAATTATCACTTAAAATACCTAAAATGAGATTTTTTGCTAAGTAGATTTATCAACCTTTTCTGAACACATTCATGATTTAATTTTGGAAGCAGTTAGTCCAAAAAATGTGTTTTTAAACGTTTTAAAATTGTACCTATACTATTTGTATCTGCTATTCGCGTAACCTGTCGATTATCGATAACGCCCCGCCCCCTGTTGAGGCATCAATGAGGGAAATCGGTAGTTCCATATATCCGTGAATTACAGGTCCATACTGGTCCATACTTCTCGTAATACATGTATCGTACAACTACCGTACATCTTTTATGAATATCTCAACATTTAGCCTTTTTATAAATTAAGAAATTGTCGGCCAATGTACTTAACATAATGTATGAAACATAAATAATTAAGCATAGCGGCAAATCGCACGACCACGGGCTTGATTAAAAATGTAGTTGCTAAAATATCAATAATGTGTGAAAATAATTTGTCTGTCCCGTTAATCTGATAGATATTACATTGAGTTGATAGACTTTTGTACGGATTCAAGGGCTTACTTTACATTCAACCTCGTTTTCTAACAATGTCAAGTTAAACAACAACAAAAACAGACAACATTTTTTATGTGAACGCCTATATGACTTGTAGTAAGGTGTCCCCGACAAATTTCTAAACCATTTTAGATTGTCTAAGGTTGATTATTTCTCTATGAATAAAAACAAGATATTAAAATATATTCTCAGTGAAAATAAATTGTTCGCCAGTAAATCGGACACAGTACTAATAAATCTGGGACAAAGTATGAAATTTATTGTCTATCCCGGTAGAAACTGGATCTCTATGCCGTGCATAGATGATATTCATAATAAAAGTCAAGAAGGCCAATTTGGTGGAAAAAATATATAGTATCCCGTTCTTATTTGTACATCTACCATGGACTTTAATAGACTGTCACAAGCTCAGTTTTTTGTTATTTTATTTTATATTTTAACGGAATTTCATACACGAATACACAGGCAGAGTGACACTGGTATAAAACACTAATAATGCTGATGATAATAATAAACTTCAAAAAGAAAACAATTAAATACCCCGCTAGCGGTGCGCAAATGCGTTCCATTTCCCCTAACTGAGTGCCTCAAATTTTACCGATAGTCACGTGACATGGGCGGACAGTAAATCACGTTAAGAATTGAAGAATTGAAGAAATTTCGGCTAAAAACTGATATCAATCAGCAGCTTTTTAATTGGTCAGATGTCACTGGGTCATAAAATGTTGTTAGAGTATGTACCGCAACTTGTGACCCTCTCTGGTGCGATATTTGTGTATTATGCAATTATTTAGCGTTAAAACGTAGGGGTCCGAGAGAGAACAGCCGATTTATGACACTTCGTTTGATGCGGGTCGGACTAACTTTGAATCGGCATAACTTTTTTAATAATCAAGCAATTAACATGCGGTTTAAAGCACATGAAAGGGAATTCATTTACGGAGGGAACCGTGTCAGGGATTTTTGTTTGCTCAATCAGCGACTTAATTATCTTTAATTACGTAATATGTATGGTGAAAAAAGTCGCTTAAAATGTTTGACGTTACGTAATATTTTTTTGAGAAAAGATAGAAAAAATTTGACACACGGTTCCCCAGATAATATAACTATGGTTATTTTCCAAAAGTTTGATGACAAAAAAATAAAAAATGACTTTGATATGACGATTTAAAATTTTAGGATTTTTATTCAAAATCAATCATTTACAAAGGCATTTTTTCAAATATGTTATTTTTTATGATGATCAACGACATTTAATGCACAAAGATTAAATAAATAACAATTATTACTAAAATAACTTGGTTTAAATGACATTTATGTGAGTACCACGGGAAGTGTCTGTTGTCACCTTAAGTAAGCATATGTTATTAGACAAAGCAAGACTTAAAAGTTATCAGATATAAAAAACAATGTATATGTAGTTCATGTATTTTATACAAATGATACAAAATTCCCTTGGACGATTCAAGATGAAAAGAAATTTGAACAGCTGCGACCATGGAGATTTCAGTACTTCTCGAGCTATAAAGATATGCTGGACTTTCAATATGAGTCCCAGGTAAAAATATACAGCTCCTTAAAGTATACTCGTATAAAGCTTTTATCTGCTGCCGGTTATTTATAAAATAACAGTTTGAAATTTGAAAAAGAATACTTTCAAAATACTTGTATAATAGAAATGTGTTTGTTTGGTTAATTAAAAGCAATTTGTGTATACACGAAACACCTTACACGAAATCATTCCTTAACTGTTTAAACCATGATAAAAATAGCAGAATAATATTTTGTTCCAGAACATATTATTCAGTTTACATTCAATATTCATGTGTGCTAAATAACATAAACATTTTGTATACAACTCTTTCAAGAATTTTCATTAAAATTATTCAAACATCATACCTTTACTGTTTATAAACTTTATAGAAATATTTCATAAGGTACCGGTATAGCTTTATGGTCTTTACCCTTTAAATTTCCAAAGTATTATTATTGGTTTATTTCTTGCCCTTGTAAATGAACTTTAGTAATGTTCGAGTTGTGCTCTTGAAATTAGGCATATACCTCTCTGTTGTCATATCTAAACTTATGTATAGAGCAACTTTGCTTAAAACTAAACAATCGCCATGCATTTAATTAATAGCAAGGATTTTTTCCATATGATTTATCCGGTTAGGCCGGTTACAGTTATTTTTCTGTCGAAATCTCACCAAAATAAAAATGAATGTTACTATGCCTCTGTTCCATTTTCTTCATCATCACTGTCCTCAGAGCCATCCTCATCCATATCTTCCAGATACTCCTTACCAAGCTTGAGAATTTCTTTGAAAGCCGCTGAAACAAAGCAGGATATCAGATTATTTCTTCTCATTGGTTATAGGTTTTTGAAAAAAAATCTCTTTAAAATCATTTACACCAGTTGCAACAAAATATTGCAAGTAACAAAATTACTCAAACTTTTAGCCCAAATAGTCTTGTTTCATATTATAACATAACTATGAGTACCGATAAATCAAACTTACATAAAAGTAAAGCATCAGATTCTGGTACCACTGTATCTTCGTGTATATAGTTTATCACCGGAAACATTTTACTTTGTTTAAACTTGAACATGTCTATCAATATGTCTTTATTTTCTTTTAAAATCTTGTTTTCAAATACGTGAAGTTTGCATTCATCTACCACATCACTGAGTAAATCTCCTTTCGTCAAAATGACAATGTAAGGAATATCTGAAATAAAAAAAATAAAAAAATATGCGACGGACAAGTTTACAACAGAGAGAAGTTAGTTCTTGCCGTCTGATCAGACTCGAAACCATTAATACTCTGAAATTAAAATTCCATAATATCTGAACAGACTGTTCCAACTTCAATTTTGAGCAAATTCATTACACACATTAGCAGGTTAAATAAGTTCAGTTGAATTAAATGGCGATAAAAATGATATGATTTCTGTGCGTATAATGAATTATATTGCCTTTGTCAAGTAGCCATGCTTGAAGAGATTTAAGTGTCTTTTGCATTTTTTCTGAGAGCTCGTCAGCAGGTGTAGATACATCAAACACAAAACAAACACAATGTACTTTGTCTTTCTTGAGTGGTCGATGCTTAAACTTTTTTGAACCCCTCTTCATGCCTTGTATTATCTAAAATTTACAATGAAAAGATGAAAACATGATCCAGTATTGTTTATTCGATTTTTCTTCTTTACTGTGCAAGAAAAAGAAACATTTTTGTGAATTATTTTCAGCACATGACTATACAATTATAAAGCTGAAAGTACTTCAGCAAATGTTAAATTTTTATACATGTTTTATTCAATTATCTCTTTGATATAAGGGGTATAGATATATTCACCTTATATCTTATTGGCACATGTCCAAGAATGACATTTTTGACATCGTCCAGTTGTATGCCATCAGATTCTTGAAAACCTGGTATATCTCCAATAAAAACATTGCTATCAATAATATCTTCAGACTCGTGCTTGTATTTCATTTGATACATTTTATACTGAAAAAGAGAAAAACCAAATTGTAACCTTTGGTTAAAATTCTCTGACGCGTGTATGCAAACAAGACATTTATGTGAAACGATGCACAAGATTCTTAGTATGCAATCTCTTTTCAATACTTTTGGCACTGATTTCTTACCCTCTCAGTTGATGATTCTAAGTGTCCATCCTTTGGTTTTCTACCAGTTGCATAGCCTCCTGTTGCTTTAGAATATATTTCATCTCTTAATGCAGATGAAATCGAATCGATGAAGCTTGTTTTTCCACTATACACGGGTCCCACGCAAAGAACACGTAGAACATTGTCGCCTAGTTCTTCAAATTCAGCCCCAATCTTCATTAGCTCGATTTCTTTCTCGTTTGAATGCCTCTGTAAAAGTATAACATACGATACAAATATGTGCTTTGAATGAATGAGACATAATGAGTATATCATAATATAATAAACTTGTTTACAATATGAGTGGTTTTTGTTGTCCTTAAATCTTATTATAATTCATAAAATATTTACGTCGGTATCACTCTACTGAAACACAGATAATAAAGTTCAGAAAAAAACGTCCCACTATTTTAAAATGATAAAATGCATTCTGAGAAGATGTTAAAAGGTCTTTTAATCGAGAGGCAGAGAATACAAATGCATTAAAGTCAAGAAAGATGTTTTAACGTGTTTCAAATAAAAAATGATCTTTGATCAATGATATTAATTTTAGGGTACCCTATTAAAAATTTAAAAAACAAACAAGGTATTACTCTTACCGGTATATGTAACTTGCTTGCACGTTCTGACCACCTGTCAAGTTTTGATGCCATCTCTACAAACGGGATTTATTTTAAAATGAATAGTAAAAAAGAATAGAAAATACAACGAGGTTGTTACGCATTGTTGAATTCAATACTGAATTCTGTTGAACGACTTCTAAGCTGTAAAATCAAATTGGACAAGGCGCTAAATTTGTTACGAATGAATTCATATTTTGATAAGACATATATGTAATAAAAGGGTTAAATACCAATAATGCTTGCTTTGTCTTCTTACTTCATTGTCTTAAATCGTACGCTTGAAAATTCATACTATTCCTCTTTAAATACTCATTACTGATAAAAGATTGTTGATAACATGTAAAACTGATACTTATACCTTTGTGATTTTCGAGGTAGTCTCTAGTAAGTTCAATCATAGTATTCAATGCCTGTAGCGCTAGTCTTTCTTTGCCGTCTTTTATATTTTCATCATTAACGTAGTTCACAATTGGAAATATGTATTTTTCTTGTATACCAAAGAAATTTGAGACAGTTTTCGTTGCATCGCGAGCTTTTGGACTTCTGTAGACTCGGTTAGCATCCTCCGATATCTTCTGACAAAGGTCGTCAAATTTGGTTGCAACAACAACCATTGGTAAACCTAAAACACACATACATAAATTACGTAATGCATTTATTATATATATCCTTATACATCATACATAAGAGCTAAGGCATGTAAAGTCAAGTGATAAAGGGAAACCTTTACAGTTGGTAGTTTATTCAATTAATATGAATGTCACGTGTTTTGAATTATTTTTGTAATAAACAAGCTTAGTGCTCGTTAAGCTATATTCATATACTGCCCAGGGTTTCTTTACTAATTGTTCTTTTTTTCTATCAGTGTTAATGGTAACTACTTGGTATTTCACATGTTCTAATAAAATCCCAAAATCTCCAAATATTAAAACCATTTGATATTCGTATAAAGTACTGATTATCAAATTGATACTTTACATACCTTAACTAATAAAATATTAGCCCATGATCATTCTTACACTAATACCAAAGATAATATTAAAGATGCTTTGGTTATTTTCAAAAGGACAATGTTCACATGAAATTTTATATAATATATGTAGACATGTGTCATATGGTGTTCTTTGAACAAACTACAAGTAGTGTTTCCTATCTTATTGGTTATTACTCATAGCACACAATAAAATTATTCTATTAAATTTTAAACTTAAAAAAAAATTTAAAAGTCTAAAACATAAAATTTGAAATTTTTACACAGATGAATTGAAGCACTTAAAACGGAAATATATAGTAATGATATTATAAAATATACTTCGAACTAAAAAAAAGTATAATCTTTGAACATCAATAAGCCAAAAGTGTTTTCTGTATTCTTTTTTGGATTATTTTTCACATTTAAAAATATTACTCAGAAAGCAAATGGTCTGAAAAATTGCACACAAGTTTCCGACTTTGATCAATTAGTAAAGAAATCTTGAGAAATGATTTCCTGTTACATTAGATAAAACCTCAGTGGTGTCCCTAGTAGCACAAGATAAAACTAAAAGTGATAAAACTAAACAAGAACGTGTTTGTTAAACACAAATGCCCCCGGCTCAGATTCTTGTCAGTAACAATATTTAAAATAAAGGCTGTGTTGGCAAAAGTGTAAAAAAAATCTATTTTTAGCACTGGTGACCTTGACCCAACTGACCCCTAACTCAATTCAAAGGAAGAATATCATGCAACTTATTTTCCTACCAAATATGAAATAAGTCTGTCAATATATAAAGGCTGTATGGGCAAAAGTGTAAAAATCTATTTTAGCACTGTTGACCTTCACCCAACTGACCGCTACCTCCATCTAAATGAAAATACCTAAATTTTATGTTCTTACAAAATATACAAGACATCTGTCGATAGAATAAGGTTAATACACCTGTAAAAATCTATTTTTTTGACATTGGTGACCTTGACCCAAATGACCCCTTACTAAAGGAAAAGGAAGAGGACTTCCCTTGGTATGACTATTACGAGGGATGATCAAAAATTAACCGGACTTTGTAAATGATTCTTTACCTGTTAAATAAATTTACATAAAAATACACGGAAAATAAATCGGAATATATCCCCTGAATGATACAAAAAATACCAACAAGAAATATTAACAAAGAAAAAAGTTATGCTGTTATTGGCATGTACATGTAAAGCAATGCGGCGCACGGTATAACTTTAAAATTGACGTTAACGACGTCACAAGCGTATTTTTCTTAACGGAGCAGTTTTTTACTCATTCACGGGGTAGCCCAATACGTGGTACAGTCATGTTGTTGATGCGGCGGATCCACTGCCTATATATATTTCTGTACAAGTGGGTATCATATTGTATTGTAAAAGAATGGATGGTGATAAAGAGCTCCTGTAATGACGCAAACTTCCGTTCTTTCCTTCTGTAACTTGATTGTTGGAAAAATCGCACATGCAATAAACTATATTTTGTATTACAAATAATGTAAAATAATGTTGCTGAATGATAATTTATCATACATAAGAAAAACTAAAAGAATAATACAACTATGAACAAAATTGTCATTATTTTAAAATAAATAAAACTCATAGACGATTTTGAACAGTGACTGTCTAATTGTTGACACAATTTCTCCTTAAAACTTCTGCGTAAGATAAGACAATAATTTATACAATTTCAAACCAAGAATACAATATATGAAATTAATGCATTAATCATTATCATTTTAAAATCCTTCGAGTTGACTGCACCGTCCCGTAGCTACTGTCGAACATCGTTGACAATGTCCGCAGTCAATCGACGGCCATTTTTCAACGTCTTGGAGATTGACGTCACCAACGTCCTTGAAAATTTCTTTTTTCTGTCTCTCCCTTACTTGTTTTCTATTTTTTCTATTACCGTTTCTTAATTCTTTATGCTAATAAAATAATATGCTGTGGTTTTCTGGGACATTTCCCGTGATAGCCATAATCTTTTTCTGCGTTTTAAACAGTTTCTCGTCTTATTTTTGACAAATTTTTCTTATTGATCGATTTTCGAGACATTCCAACGACATAGTTTTAACGGGGGTATTTCATTAACATGTGACGTTTGAATAGTGATTGCAAATATAAATATGGTTTAAATGAAGTCATTTTTACTCACAACGTCAAAGATATGGTTCCTGACGTTTTGGCGTACTTTGAAATCTAAATGTGCCATATTGTAAAATATACGCAGCTTAAGGCGCCTGGTGTCAAGGCGAATTTACGCACTGCGCCGGGCGTGCGTTACCATGGTTTTTTAATTCGCTGTTACGGAGAAGTTTTTTGCGTTATCAGATTAGATAAAGCATCAGTTTACAGGTATTGTTTTCCGATTAAGTGTGATATATAACAATAAGTGATAGGTTGGAAATTCTTCAAGTGACAGTCACAGTCCGGTTTATTTTTGATCATCCCTCGTATAAACATGAAAGACATTAACTTAAAAATAAAGGCTGTATGAGCAGAAATGTTCAGATTTATTTTTTTTACACAAGTGACCTTGACCTTGACCTAAAGACGCCTAACGCCACAAAAAATTAGAGGACCGTTAAAGGTATCCACCTACCAAATATGAAAGATATCATTACATAAATTAAGTAATTAGGTGAATTTTTTTGATAAATCCAACTTGGCGGAATTGGTTAACCATACAAGGCCATATTTTCAAAGTGATAAAAAGGGAAATTACTGGGAAAATGGATAGCACATTTATATAACTTGGAAATATCATGTACATTGTATTGATAAGTGTGTAAATTATGAAGCCATTGGTACAGGTAGAACTTAAGAAAAATCCAACTTGCCGTTCTAGGTTAACCTCGTACGGACAGACGGACGGACGGACGGTTCAATTACTATATGCCCGGGGGCATAAAAAGATACTTGACGGAGTATATGTAAGTTTTAAAATGTTCCAAGTATAAAAACAGCAAGTATAGTTATACTGATTTCTTTGGTATAATTTTACCTTTCCTGTTGATAGATTTTTGTATACTCGTTATATGTTTATGTAGATCGTCCGTGATAGTGTCTAAATTTGAAGTCCCGGTAACAAAGCACACCAAATGTATTTCATCTTTCAAACTCGCATTTACCAATTCACCTTGTTGAATAGGCCCTGGTTGATCTGGAAACTGCAAACATGGCAAGAAGCGGTATTTAATATGATATGAAAGAAGTAATGCTAAATAAAAACTTATTCCTAAGCGATCTATATTGCCACAATTAGAGTGTGTATGGATAAGTTCACATCACTTATGTAATCAAATTACTGTATACAATGAAGATAGGGGCGTCCATGGCCGAGTGGTTAAGGTCGCTGACTTCAAACCACTTGCCCCACACAGCTGTGGGTTCGAATCCCGACAGGGACTTTGGATTCTTTCATGTGAGGAAGCTATCCAGCTAGCTTACGGAACGTCGGTGGCTCTACTCAGGTGCCTGTTCGTGCCTGAAATATGCACGGAAGGGCACCTGAGGTCTTTCTCCACCAGTAAAGCTGGAACGTCGCGATATGACCTATACTGTGTCGATGTGACGTAAAACCCAAAACAAACAAACAAACAAACAATGAAGATATGCTGGGATAAATTAATTTATTGAAAAACAATAATTGACCCCTTTCTTTTGAAAAGGCAATAGATAACTACATGTAGTACAAATATTTATACTCTATGCGCATAATACATTGTACATTCATAACGCATTGCAAGCTAATTGCATTAAATTACGCTTAAATTCTCTGTTTTCTTTAACACATGGCCATCAGAACTCCAATTAAGAATTTGAATTGAAAATTTATAAAGACAGCAAACAGTGTATTGAATGTAAGATGAAGTTACTAATTAAGCTTACAGGATTGTTATAATCTTATATATGGCTGTATATAATAAGCCTTGAATAAACCTAACATAAATTTCGTCTTGCATGATAGTCATATAAACTTACACTAAACCCAACTGGTAATCTACCGTTCAGAAGTAGGTCAAACTCGTGCTCATATCCCCTCTCAGCTTCAAAACCTCTGATATCAAATATTCGGAGATTTAAAGGCTTTCCACTCTTTGATTTCAACTCGTATGCGTGGATCTTAAATGCAGCAAACAAAAACAAAAATTCTAGCTAATTAGTTATTGAAAAAGATAGTCTGCAAAACTACGAGTAAAACGTTAACAAAAAAATGAAAAAAAACATCATTATTCAGCTTTAATGAAATGAAAGAATTGTATTATTGCATAGTACCCTCTTTTTAGCACTAAATGAAGTTATTATTTTCGTTTACTAATCCAAGGAGTCAAAAAATGTGTACATGTATTTCCAAGTTAAAAGATGAAATAATGTACTAAAAATCTCTCGCTGAGATATTTGTTTGTATAATAAATTTATGGGTTGTTCGGGAAAAGGAAATACGATTTATTAAAGAAAGTATCTCACCTCGTTTGTGACACTTGTTGGCGCATCCCTGGCTGGTGCGTGAGATTTAACAGCACCCATGAAAACCGTTGCTAAGGTGTTATAGAAGCTTGATTTTCCAGACCCGATGACACCGACAAGTAGTATGTTATATGTTTTGATACCAAGGCCTGGCAATGGTTCCATTTTCTCCAGTTTCTTCCTTATTTCTTCCATTTCAGTATCCTATGTAAAAGCAAACCAAGCATCTTGTTTCGGTGTAAAACAGTTAAAAAATTGTACTTTTTCGAAAAATTCTTACGTTTACTTTGTGAAATTTTGACAAAAAGAAGAATTAATTGCCATATTGCATCATTTATTATCGAAAAGAATCAATTCATAAATTTAACTATTTTTCTACAATATTTAAAATGAATACACAATTTCATAATTAATAATAATAATAATAATAAATTAAATAATAATAATAATAATAACAATAATAATAATACTTCGGTTTTACTTGAAATTACTTTTCGGCCAAACTAACAAAGCGTTTAGAAACTTTATGTCGTACTTATTATTGATATTATTTATTTGAAAGCATTAGTTTATATTGTAAGTTTCTCTGTTTGTATTTATATCTTCAATCAATCAGGCAAATATGAAATTTATAATAGAAGTAATTCTAACACATACTGATGGTTTAGTCCTCCATGGTTCTTGAAGCTGGTCGTCTGAAGCATTCAAATATTAAAGAAGTTATTTGTGAACGAATTCAGAATTGCTGTCTTAACATTCGGTATCTGATATTGTCATTCCGGATTGATTGATTGATTTTCTTTAGACCGGGCGGTCAAGGATAACCTACGAAAGTGCAAGCACTTATTTCCAGTAGGGTCCTTACCTAAGCAGACTGCAGAGACAGCTATGAGATACAAGGAAATCCGGGAACCAGTCCCTAGCTCTTATTGAATAGATTCCTTGGTTCTTTTACATGCCCAGTGTAAAGCACTGATACATGCGAGAATTACCTGGGTTTCGTACCAGTAAACCTCTAGTTAGGTGGGAAACACTGAAAGTGTTTCTGAAAAATCCCAAGGGTGTTACCCAGGATCGAACCCGGAACCTCAGGAGTGACAGTCAGTAGTCTAACCAACTGAGCTATCGCACCACCTGAGCTATCACGGCAGCACGCCGCATTGACTTTGCCAGAGCAGAGTTCAGCCGCAGCATCAATCCTGGGCAAACTGTCAAGCAGTTTACCAGTACTAGCTGCCTTCAATTTCGCAAGGAACTGATAATTTTCTGTACATGCCAAAGCAGACCGACTGAGAAAGAATTTTCATGATCAATCACAACAATCTAAATGTTTTATCACAGTGAAGATTAAGAAAATATACAATGTGTCTAAATATTCTAATAAAGTGTAAATCTCACTCCGATACATAATGTGATTGATTTGTAAATATGCTCATATCAAACATGCAAAACATTTATACAATACATATTGAAGAAATAATTCAACAACTTTGAAGTTGTTACCTCGCAGCATGTATCTTTATATGAATACATGAAGGACATGTATTGTTAGATGTACACTAAAATATAAGCCAGCAAATCAGTGACGGCAATTAAACTTGCATATATAAATTTTACTTTAATATTGATCTCTACAACTATTATCATAACCATTGCCTTCTTGCATATCTTTTGACACAAAACAAATACTCCAAAATAGATAAACATCAGATATATATCCAGATCTGAAGAACTCTCGACAATCACTTCAAATTAGATAATGCCCTGACTAGTACTATAATATGACATTTGCTTAGAGATATTCACATACTTGCGCTCGGCCAACATGTCAATAAAACTATCACAAGCGAATTACGTCTAAACTATAGTGAGGGGAAAAACCTGTACCAATATAGAAAGATTATAAACCATCAAAATGATCAGGAAAACTAAATTATTAGTATTTCTTACCTACAACTTGATAAACCTCTATCCGTTTAACAACTAATGCCCCAGCGTTAATGTCTTTCTGACGTGGAGTTCCTATTGTGCAATTCTCCCTAAAACTATCTTCAAATCTCGCCTCCCTTCTCGTTGCCGAAGCCCCCCTCCTTGGCATCTGGTTATCTTCTAAGCCATACGCGCAGCCAAAATTCACAGCTCCATTTAGTTTCATATAGGAGCCTGCTTCTCTTTCACTTTCAGATTTTTTATTGTCTTTCTTGAACGTTTGAAGGTCATAAGCCTCCCAGAAAAAGGCACCCCCTCCAAAAGTTGGTCCAAAGTTTGCATCACACGTTATTGCCCTATCAACAAATTTTTCTTTAATTGGTAGGAAAGTACACGTAGCTTCCGCGTGATCATTCTTGTAGAACAAGAAGGCGTTTTCATCTCGTTTGGTTCTCTGTTTGTCTGAACACCACTCTTGGCTTGTGTAACCGCCAAATATGGTGTTGTATTTTCCATAGAGAACGGTTAGTGTTGGTCCTTTACCATCACACTGGACATGGAAATCATCAACATTAACCTTGTCCACGGAACTGTAGAGTAAATTAAATGACTTCTGGTTATCCCCAACACTGACTTTCCTCTCAATGTCTCTCAGAATATTGGAAGCGTCGTCCATAATCTAAATTATCTGCTAAACATAATGCCATAAAACAAACAAACAAACAAACAAACAAACAAACAAACAAACAAACAAACAAACAAACAACAACAAAAAATCAATAACTTTAAAACTGTTTATCTAACGAAAAACATGAAATTATTTTAAGATTAAACCGGACTCTAAAGAAGACGCAACTATGTTCTTTAACATACTAGTAAATGTAGTTTAAATGTATTAACAATACAATGTACACGAATATTCTCTAGTTATTACAATGAAATCATATCCGTATAAATGTAAAAAAACACTTTACATTTGACATATATTTATTTAAATTTTGTATTTTTTCTTCATTTTTTCATTTACTAGTATTCAAAAAATAACCAATGACCCAATTGTTCATGCAGTACACAAGGACAATTCCATAAATATTATATTCTTCCGAGTGTGGTTGTAACGTTCAATTGATCAAAATGTTGGGCAGTTTTTCCTTATGCAGATTTTATATTTTATCAATGTTATTATTATTATTATCATTACTTTTGCCTTTGAACATGAGAATAGATAAACTTTTGAAATATAGATAGTAGTATGTAACTTATTAGTGATTCCGCTTTGTCAACACAAAGTCTGTCCATAGTGAAAGTAGGCCAAAATTCTTATAACAAAAAATCTCTCATTGTTATATGATGAGCCATTTGCAAGTAAACTTCCAGTTCTATGTTTTAAAGACTTTTTTAAACAAAAATAAAAATGATAACAATAAGAAAATTTACCTTGAATGGGCTAAATTTCTGAAGACCAAAAACATTCTGTTGCAATTTTTTATGCACATTTCATGAATGGCAAAATCCTTTTAAAAGTCTGTTTAAGTGCCTACAAAAGCAATTTTTTGCAGAAAAAACAAAAAAATTTAAAAATCATAAATCTTAGGAAAGTAGTTTATCTGACCTTGAAAAAACATGGCTACCATGACATGTGTAAAAAAGTAGTACCATAAAAAAAATAAACATCATTTACCTATTTCTTGTGTACATGCCAAACAGACACACTTCACTGTTACACATAAAAAGGTTAGATTTTAAAGTTTGATTGTGTTTTCATTTTAATTGTAGTTTATAAGGCTATAAATGATGATTGTTTTCTTGCACTACTTTTTTTACAAAAAATAATGGAGGCCATGTGCTTAGAAGGACATGAGATAAGGATTTATTTGGAGTTAAGTTTTGAAAGAATTTTGTATTTGCTGCAAAAAATAGCTTTTATAGGCACTAAAACGGACTTTGAAAAGGATTTTGCCATTTATGAAATGTGCTTAAAACTTTGCAACAGAATGTTTTCGGTCTTCAGAAATGTAACACATTCAAGGTAAATATTCTTATTGTTATCATTTTTATTTTTGTTCATAATTGTCCTTAAAATACATACCTGGAAGAGTACTTTCAAATGGTTTATCATTTTACAATAAGAGCTTTGATGTTATATGAATTTTGGCCTACTTTCACTTTGGACAGATTTCAGTGAAAACAAACATGGCTGACAAAGCGGAATCACATTATGAGCATAAAAATGAGCATAATATCACTTTATCTTTTTACATTGTTGTCAATTGAAACAGGCATTTACACAAACAGAAGATCTATAACAGACACGTCAAAATTCAAATTGTGACACGTAAATTAAATGCTAACCTGTAACTCGTATAAATCCTTGATACAATTGCATCCCTGAAAAATTAACACATTTTTCATCTTTGTAATCTAATCTCAGTAAAGAGTCATATTCGTTTTGGATTGGCTAAAATGCGATAGGCCTAGATCTACCTTTACGTTCTGTGTAGTTTTAAATGTGTATGATATAAATCTATTTACGTATATTTAAGCTATTAACCTTAACACACGAATAGAGTTTTTTTACTCATTTGCAGAAGATTTAGTGCATAAGGAAGTAACAAAAGTGAAAGGACAAAAATAAGGTGAGGCAATAATAAAGTATATTTTGTTCATTTATTTATTTATAATCAATGTTTAAAGGTTATGTGTGTTATAGCAAAATATTTACTAGATACTCGGGTAATTTTGGATTTATATTTGTTTAAGAACTGGCATGGGGAACACACAATCGGATAAACAAGGAGGTCAAGGAAACGAACCGAGAAAAGAAGAGACACGTTTGGATGATTTACCGGTAGGTTAAAAATTTTCATATAAAAGAAATACATCAATCTAGTCAAACTATCCTTATAAAATTAATCTTTATCACATGGCTACAAATATGGCGACTAGTCATGCGTCACAAACACTTGTATCAAATCTATACTCAAGTAAATAAAGAAAAGGTACAAAATTAATTCCCATTTGGATTTGTATTTGCATAATTTACATGACAAAAGTCCTATTTTCCACATTTGTCACATTAAGTCAGAAAACGAAAGTAACACAATGCGACACGATTTATTGTACTTTCTTATTTATTCCATAAGGCTTTTATGTGGACAAAAAAACAATAAAGAGAACAGTAGAGTAGCAAAATAAGTACTGTCTCGTTAGTATGGCCATCCGTCGGCACTTCCGTAGTTTGTTTGGTGCATAACTTTGTCATTTATTGATGATTTTATTATATTTGTACAATATGTGTAGCGCACTGGAGCAATGCGTTATGTGCAAGATCTAGGTCTTCTGAAGCTCAGATGTCAAGGTCAAAGTCTGACTTAAAAGAAAATGTTAATAACACTGCACCGATGTTTGTGTCTGATCAACAATACTGTCGTTGATGGATGGATTTAAAAATGATTTTACATAAACGTGTTGGACATAATGACGACGTGTTGCTTGCAAGAATCGGCCCCCTAGCTTAAGGTCAATGTCATACTTGTAGATCAAAATTCATGGTGTGAACTTTTATAAAAGTACACTGATGTTTGCGTCTGGTCATCAATTCTGTCATTCCTGGATGGTATTGGAAATAACGACCTTATGTCGCGCTCACGAATCAGGTCACTACAGTAATGCTTAAGGTCAAGGTCACACTTGTATGTCATATATGATAATTGGGAATTTTATTGTCTTCTTGTGTGCATAACTTTGTCATTCATAGATGACCTTTAAAAAATTATGCATAAATATGCTGCTTGTTAAGATGATATGTAATGAGCTTAGCAGCCCGAAGGTCAAGTTTATACTTTATACTAGAATGTTAAACGTAATATGATAGTGCATTGATAGTCATGTCCAGTCCACGTCTTTTTGTTGTTTAATGACGTGACAAATTTTTTAATATCTTTATGAAATATATGGTCCTTGGAAATTTTTTTAAATGAGTTTGTAGCTTAAGGATCAAGGTCAAGCTAAGACTTCTAAGGTTTTCAGTTTCATAAAAGTACATCGATGGTTATATGCAATCGTCAATTCTGTCCTCCATGAATGGATAAATACATAAATAGGCATACTTCTGTGGCACATAAGAAAACCGTATTACACGGAAACGCCAGGTTGACAGTTTAAAAGGTAAAGGTTATGAATGTCAGAATAATACATTGATGGTTTTGCCTGGTTATATCTTTTTTATACGTGAAAAGCAATCTAGGGTGCTAAGATCTAAATTTTATGGGTGTCATAGTTACTCTGTTGATACCTTTTCCGGGTAAACTTCAAAAATAAGAATGAATAGAGAAAAAAATGGCGGCCATTTTATTTCATTTTATTTAGAAAATAGACCACGTGACCACATTTTATATTGTTAAAAAGAATTGTTACCTATGTAACAGAAAAAATTCTTAGTCACGTGATACACTTGCATTAATAGTTTGAATAACTCCCAGAGGCCTATGGGAAATTAACATTATGAAAAAAGTGAAGGGTAAGTATATAATTTGTTTCCAGAGTGATTTCGAAAGCAATATAGTTTTGACTCTTGAAAAACTCCAATAATTATTTTATACGTTTACTCACCTATACAATTTTAGACACAGAAATCTTTCAGCAGTCTTTACAATCAAAGGCAAAATAACAGTGAATCTCATAAACGGAAGGCTGTAAAATATTTTATTCAATGTTATCTTTATGATAATCTTTAGTTGTCAATTTAATTGTAATGTTAAATCAAATAACCAAAAACAGGACCACATTTACTCAGATGGTTAAAAGAAGTCAATTGTAATTCTCAAACTGTATGACTGAGAAGTCACAGTAATGCTAGAGTGTTAAACGTATATACTTTCAAATCATCTTCACATATATGTATATTGCTATTTACTGACCTTTAGATATATTTCCTTAACACAAATACACGTATAGAATACAGTTCTTTTTATTGAAGAAAATTAGGTTTAAATTTGTTAATTAAAAAGAAAATGCATGGTTTGGCAAACCGATATTAATTTACTTAAACTTGTGAATAAATAAATCTATACCCCTTTCTTATTAATTTACTAACTTATAACGCAGAAAACCTTCAGCAGTCATTATAATAGTGTGATGAGCCTTGTAGAAGCAACCATTGCACAGCAGGAATATGTTGACCAGTTATGTCAAATATCAGGTAAACTTTTGTTTTCTTTGTACCCCCACTACTATAGGGAATGGAGGCATTTAAATTTGACCTTGTCCGAGCGTCCTTTCTCATGTTGTGTCACATGTAACTCAAAAAGTGCTTGATATATGGTAAACAAACTTTACAGGAATGTCGATCCACATGTGAAGTTGTGCACCTGGTGTTTCGCGTGTAGATTAACCTAGTTTTGTTATTGCTATTTTTCGACTTGTGTTACGCGTAGTTTCAAACGCATTTGACCTGGAATCATGACACTTTACAGGACTGTTGGTCAGCATATGTTGTTGTGTAACTTCAGTTTTACTTAATTTTTTTTCTTTAAAGCATACTTAGGATATGAAAATTCTTAATGTTGGGAAAAAGCAAGGTGCCAACATTGTATACAAGGGCAACATTGTCGCAAAATATGCCCGTCACGAAATATTTTGACAGAGATATGGGCATTATAGATATGCATATAGGAGATATGCTATGGGTAATATCCAGACAATATCTGGATATTTTATCATCCGTAGTGACATTGACCTTGCAAATATTAACTTGAGTTACATGTGTCACACTTGTAGTCATGATAGTTATTATTAATGTTACAATCCATCAATAAATGATGACTAAATGGTCCCTGTACATATCATCTGCTTTATTTTAATTTTGACCTCTCCTAATGACCTGACCTTGAATTTATTAGCAGAGACCTTGATTATGCGCGCAATACTTAGCCTCAAAATGTTGAACATTTGTGCCAAGTTACATTAAATCCCCCGATGGATGTAGAAGTTTAGGTCCGTTCAAGCATTTTTTAAAATTTTGTCTGTGTGTAACCTTGACATTTGACCTAGAAATCTTGTTCATGCGCATAATATAGTTACTCATAGTTGTGAACATTTCTATTATGTTTCATTAGAATCCTTCCATGCGTGTAAGAGATTGCGCTGGACAAAATCTCTATATTTCATCATCTTTTTAGTGACCTTGACCTTTCATATATTTACCTAAATTACATTGTTCACACCGTAGTCATGATAATGACCAACTGTGTTTCAATCCCTCAATAAATGATGACTAAACGGTCCGAATACACATTTTCATATCTCATCTAAAGTTTGTTCCCTATCTGTGACCTTGACCTTGGTCCCATGACCTAAATTTCACACGCGACAATCTGCCTCCCAGTGGTTAACATTTGTGCCAAGTTATATTGAAATCCCTCTTTGCATGTAGAAGTTTTACTCTGGACAAGCGTCTTTCAATGACCTATAAGTGTGACCCTGACCTTTGACTTGGAGACCCGGTTTATGCGCCCGACACAGCTTCTCATAGTAATGATTATTTCCATGAAGTTTCATCAAAATCCTCCATGCATGTATGAGATTTGCTCCGGACAAAAATTGGACGCTGCTCATCAGGGGAAAACTATAATACCACGCATTTTTCAAACGGGCATGTTGTTTTTATACCCCCACAAATTAGGGGTGGGGGAGTCATGTAGAATTTCCTTTGTCCCTCTGTCACACTGTCCTGCTGTACGTCTGTAGACAGTGGGGTGGGGATGGACACATTTCAAGACTGTAGAACAATAATATTTTATAAGCTTTAATTTTTCCATTAAATTTATAATAATAAAATTAAAAAAAACAATTAAAAAAAAGCAACAAAAAATAACAACAAAATAAAAACATTCACCCTTAATGTACTTACATACTCTTTATCAAGATATAAGACAAGATGATTGATAAAATCAGTCAGTTGAATGTTTTGATATTGACTTATATAGAGACATTTACGAATGCTGATATATTTAATTATAATCATCGTCATTTTGTGTGCTTATTGATAAGCTTCATTGAAACACATGAAACAAAAGTTATTTAGGCAGACGTTTCAATCCACACATCTAAAGTTTCTTGGTCACGGAAGTTCTTTGCAAATGTGATTTGTTTCAGAAAGATACAGTAAAAATTTTTCTAACATATATAACATATGTAAATACTGTTTTACAGCTGACGTCATGAATGATAGAACAAAGCTTGACACATTAAAAAAAGGACGAGACATTTTAGATAAACTGCAAGTACGTATCCATGAAGCTTAGATATGAATTAAAATCAATTGTACTATAAGAGTAAACTGTAGGACTTAAAACTGGGGACTGGTTAATTCGTCTTTTTCGCCGTGGGTATTTTCAGATTTTTTATTATGCTATTTGACACTAGTTTAAGATTCATGGTCATGTTTTCAATGCCATAGAAATATCATGATCATATTACGATTGTAAATGTTATTGCTGAATGTACATTTCTACTGTGACAAGAATCAGTGTACGGTAATCATGAATGATAGAGATTTATTCGAAACTGAACTTTTTGACAAAGCTATGTCTTTCGTTTTTTTCGGTTATATGATAGAACCTATTTTAAGTTATGTTTCATAATATAAAACAATTAAAACACATTTTAACACTTTGTCGGAGACTCGCTCGCAAAAAATCTTTTTATAGATATCAACATGTGGCAAATTATAATAATTGATAAAACTGTATATTTAAGGCCTCACGTTATATGCAGACAAGCTTAGTACAAGACTCCGTATTTTCCTTGTATTACAACATACAAGCTATCCTTCTGTCTTACAAACTAAAACCTTTCGAGATAGATTCTTCATTTTTGAAAAGAAAGGACAACCAAGAGTTGAATGAATCAAGAGATGTAGAACATCATCAAGTAATCGATGATGGAGTAATGCAAGTGTTACCGAATGAGAAACATAAAAAAGAAATTGAAATGCTTATAAAAGATTTATCGAAAAGCGAGAAGCTTATTAGAAAGTTGGAAGATGACAATACAAAAGCTGCAAATAAAATCAAAGAATTAGACGGTTCGAATGGATATTTAGAAAAAGATTTAGAAAGGAAAACATTGCATATAGAAGAATTACAGAAGACAAACGAAAAACTTATTTGTAAAATAGAGAAACTTACGCCACCGAAAATTGCTGGTAAATATTTTGAAATTATGGGTTGTTCTCATTCAAATATTTTATCAGTAAATTACGAAGTACATTTACTCTCTTGAAAAATATAATACAGTTTTGTTACCTGTGATCATTTTAGTTTTTTTTATTCATAGCATTCTAATATTTAAGTATTTATATTGATTGATATTCTGTAAAACATTTGAATTGAGCTGATATGATCATTAAATGAGTTAATATTTAACTAATAAACTGATTTTTGGAAACATGAGCCAACCATTAAAAATTTGGACGAAAACAATAAATTATCTTCACGTTTCTTTTAGGCACGGTTCAGCTTTATCATTCACATAGCGGAAATACTATAAAAGATATTGAAGAAGAATTAAAGACAATGCTGAATAATCACTTGAAAGATGTTAAATTTGTCAAATGCAACAGGATAACGGACATCGATCAGTCACAGATGCTTATTGTCCTCAGCATCATTGCTTCAAGAGTAGGGACAGACGCTGCAAATGCAATTAAAGATGTACCACGTGCGTATAACATACACCATCTTTTATTGATATAGGGTCGTCAATATCATATGCATCACCTAAATATTGTGTTTGTTTGCGCTAATTTCTTTTTAAAAAAGATCCTTTTGAAGCGGCATTATATTAACAGTGTGCAATATTTTTGTTTTGTATAAAAAGATGGTTTTATTACGCATATTATGTACTGGTAGATTTTACATACTGTTTATTTAATGTTTTCAAATAAAACTTGGTTTAGTATGTAAATGACTTTTATATTCTGTTAAAAAAATGCTGCCACCAAACAATGGTACATCTTTTTCTTTTCATTAAGCATTGTAATCCGATGGTTGTTCTTTAAAACAAGTTAAGATTGATTCATCTTATTTTAATATTGTATCACATATTACTTTTGTTTTGCAGGACCTGAAAACACGGCACTTTTGCTATTTCATATAAAAGAAATTCATGCACTGACGAAACAAGCAAGTACTGCTGTGCTCACAGATCGATCATTTAAGGACCTTGGTGGGATATTTGATTTGGCCTTTGTAAATGGAAAAGGCTTATACCAGTGTGAAATGAACGAAAATGCAATGAAAAGCGTTTGTGATTTCATTAAGAAAGGCATATCAGGGACAGGTGTATAGATTTACAAAGCAATCTCGAAAAAATATACAGAACTTCTTTTACCATTAATAGACAACACAATATCAAGTGTTTTAAAATGAGATATTCTCCTGTGAAAAACAAAGGAAATAACTTATAATTAAATTAAATTTATATTATGGCATACATTTTACCAACAAATTAGTGTATATATTTACTTTATGTATCTATGATAATGTCATTATTATTCATTTTACATACGAATGTTCAAGTATAAAAACATTATTTAGTTATAAATTATTTTGAAAATTATGAAATCGTTAAAATCAATTAATTTGTTACATTGTAGAAAGATGTGTATTATCTGCATTTTTATTTATAGCATGGCTATAGCATTCATTAACAATTACTGATTCTAATAGAATTAACCGCTTTATATGTGTTTGAAATAAATACTTATCAAAGCGATCGTCAATCAAGATGTTTAAAAGAAGTCAAATTATCAGTTTCCTTGTAAAGAGACATACCCACTATGTATTTTTTTAATTGCTTTTGGATGCGAAACTATTTATTTCAAAATTATCTTCCAAATAGCAAGTTGTAAGAAATCGATTTGCAATGAGAACAGTACAGTTGTGCTTTAGAGATTAATAAAAGAAACAAAGACAAACAGAAGAGACAGTCTCCCTAGCCACTTCGATTCTAACTTCAACCAAGATATTAATGGATACTTAGTAAGGTGACATTTTTAAAGCTGTGCTGTATGGACCTAGGGAACACACAGACAGAGACGATGAAAATGATGAAAAATGCTAATCGTTTTTCAAATGAAAGCACATCTCTTATTTTAAGTGATATAAACGATCTTCGGAGAGTATGGAGTCTCTAGAGTACGACACTTGGAGAGGGCAGCACTTAACGAATTGTGAACTCTCATTGAACAGTCTGATCAATGGGATCTTAGGTTGACGGTAAGTGACATTACATCACAAGTAGGAGTTACCTATGACAGCATCCATTTAATTTGGAGAAACTAGCTTAAGTCAACAAAAGTTCATGCAAGCTTGGTGCGAGTTCTCAAAAGCGCGTTAGTAATCAAGTCGAAACGTGTGCTAGTACCGTGCGCAAATACTATTTCACTAACCAATTAAATGGTTAAAATTTAACAGATACATAGAAAGAATACCGTTATCTATTTAATTTATGTATATTTGATCTTATTATCTGTACAAATACAATTAATGAAACTTAAGTCCATTTATCTTTGATTCAACCTTGTACAACTACTTTATATCAGTTTGAGTGTGATAAAATGTGCAATGTGACTGTAATTAAATTGATAGTGTAATAAGAATATAAATCGTCAGATAAAGTGGTAAGATTTAATTAGCGGACAATGATCTGATATGTCGGGCAAGCCAACATCAGCAATAAGATATGCACAAAGTATTACAAAACTATTGCAGAAATGAACCAAAATCAAGCAACAGACAAGAGACCTAAATCAGAGTCACGTACCAATCCGTTTAAAATGAAGTATACGATGGTGGCTGATTTGTGCCATTCGTTTTTCGCTCTGCGACCCCGCCACGCGAAAAGTCGAGAATTAAAAACTTGAAGTTAAAATGGCGGAGGCGCAGAGCGAAAACACGTTTATTAGCGAGGGTGCGGGGCGAAGTTTAATAATAAAACTTCGCCCCGCGGGGGCGCGGAGCGAGATTTAAGAAATTAAACGGCTGGGTCGCGGGACGAAAACACGCTAATTAGCGGGGGCGCGGGCGAAGATTAATCATTAAAAATCATTAAAACTTCGCCGCGCGACCCCGTTAATAAGCGTGTTTTCGTCCCGCGACCCGCCAAGCGAAAATTCGATAATTAACAAGTTAAAATGGTGGGGGCGCGGAGCGAAAACACGCTTGCTTATTAGCGGTGGCGTGTTTTCGCTTCTCTTCCCGCCGTTTTTTCTTAAATCTCGCTCTGCGCCCCCGCGGGACGAAGTTTTATTTCTTAAACTTCTCCCCGCTCCCTCGCTAATTAGCGTGTTTTCGCACCGCGCCCCCGCCATTTAAACTTGTTAATTTTCGACTTTCCGCTTGGCGGGGTCGCGGGGCGAAAACACGATTGACACAAATCAGCCATCATAGTATACATTAGATTATTATGAAGTTTTTTTTTCATAAATCTAACAAGTTTCGTGTTATTTATATGACTTTCTTTATTCCGTCACATATTTTGTATTATTATGTAATTTTAAAAATAAAATTTTATATGTGGTAAATAGAATATTATACTTGTGTATACTCGTTGAATAAAACAATATTATTCTCACCAGAGACTCGCATAATATGATTTTATTCAAATCGTTCAATAAATAATAAATTTAGTATTAAACCTACACTCATTTAAAAAAATCGTCTATTTATACTTCTACTATGGTTACCTGATCATCTTATGAGCCACGTATTTTATGATCACCATATCTGGTTGTGAAATCAATGTCACATTATTTTAAATTAGGAGAACACAGTGCAACATTAAAACAATTAATTACTTATTATTAATAATGAAAAGAAAATTATTTTCAAAGAAAAAAAATGAGTGATAGAATCAGTGCACTATAGTTAATGGTTGTCAGTATTCTATACGATGATTTAAGAATAATGTTCCTTTGTGCTTGCACTTAATTATGTAGTATTTATTTATAGTTTTTGGTATTATTTTGATACTTAACAGAAAAGGAAAAATCACGTAAGTGGAAATGCATGTTCTAAAAGTTTTGCAATCTTTATTTCTGAACACTGAATAAGCAAACATTAAGTGCTCTCTTTCACAAATAAATTACAATGATTTAGACAATTTTAAATAAGTAAAACACACATGCAAGTAAACTACCGTATTTTGATCTCTCTCGATTGATCACAATTGATATACATGTACATGTAATTGATCCTTATTCGGCTGAAACAATTGTAATTCACCAGTGTAGCGCAATACTAGCCTGTACATCCATGAAGTCTAATCAGACTCCGTATTATTTGACACACTTACTTTAAATTTTAACACGATATCCCTAAAATTGACAACTGACACTTCCTTCCAAAGCTGGAAACTGGACAAGTTTTTTTTCAAGAAAAAGGACAAGCAAGGGCAAAACATCTTCATTTTACAATTTAAAATATTTATGTTTTGAATTTTATTTTGTCTTTAACACAACATTGGTTTATTAAGCAGCTGTACACGTACACAGTAATTTTGTTTAAAGAAAATTATGACTTAATATTCAGTATGTAACTATTTACATATCCACATCACACTTGGTCGTGAAATAGTTTATACATCCCATAACTGGAATAAACAGAAAAAAAAACAAACCACTGCTTAATGATTTAATCTGATGATTTGGGAAAATCATTTCGTAATTATATCAATTTCAAAACACAAATACACTTGACAATATCATAATATGTACTACATTTGATAATATGTTTTAAAAATGTCCAGTAGAATAATAAAATCAGCTAATTTGTCGCTTCAAGTATTGAACTGATGACTATATATGAATCCGTAAAGAATTTTTCAACATGTAATTATATCAGAATGAGTAACTTGATACATTTTTGTACGATACATAAAATGTAAATGCTTTAAATTATTTGTTTGTTCAGGTATCTAAATATTTTACCCATTTTTAATTCTTTGGCTCCAATCTTAGATATAAATGAAGCAAAACATCAATTTTCAAAATAAAAGTTCATATTATTTGAGTATGATGAAAAATATAGATCACTGTATTCACATTATATCAGCATCATATTATATTACATTTTATTAATATCAGCTTGTTAGCAGTTAAGCAATAAACAGTATTTAATGATTAATTTGATTTTTTTCTTTAATATTTGTGAAATGACATTGATTACAATTTAATTATTGTCATTTAGAAATAACAAATGCAATGCTGTACATATCACAAAATAACAAATCAAAATGATATCATAGAATAAAGTGAGATAAAAATAATACAATTTATACAATGATTTATCATTGATACATAACCCGGTTGTGCTAAATAGGACATAATATAGTGCTTTGAATTTCTCACTGCATTATTCTTGTCATTGAGTTGCATTAAACTATGTCCTTATATTATAGGAATATTACACACACGCACGTACGCGCGCGCGCGCACGCACGCACGTACACACACACACACACACACACACACACACACACACGTGCAAAACATATAGAATTAAGAATAAAATTTCATTCCTAAGATCTGTATAGTTAAGCTTATATTAAGTAAAGGAGTTCTAGACGAAACGTTTTTCATCCTGATTTTTTATTTTGGAATTCGCTCAATATTTCACATAAAGTATAAAAGTCTATTCATTCATGGGAAGAATTTTAAAAGTTATGTAATTTACACATCGCTCATGCGTAAACTTTAATAAGATATTTCTTTATTTCATTTACGATCAGTATTGTAAATAACAGAAAATCGTAAAGTGCAATTGCAAATCAAAACATTTTGCAGACACAACTGTGCTCATAAAATTAATGTATAAAAGATGAAAATCAAATATATTAATGCTTGCAGAATCCTCTTCCTAACATTGACCTTTAATCTTTGACCTGTAATTACAAAATAATGTTTATAAAATAACATTATCATGTAAACTATGTTGTCCTTTTAGTTTCATACACTTTTTATATAGAACATTTCAACAAAATTATTATTCCTATCAAAACATATTGTAAGTAGTTATATTTGCATATTAATTTCACCACTATCATCGCATAAATATTATAAAGGGAGATTTTTTTTTGCGCTGACGTGTTGAAGCAAGTCCTTTTTTCGACTGTATTCCTGAATGCCGACCGGCGTATTGGCTTCAGTAGCATTGATTTAAAAAATGAACAGAAAAATATTTCACCGCTATAATGAACAAGCAATTATCAAAGTATTGCAAGCAATACAAAAGTACCCTACTACTTGGGATCCAAGCAACATTCTTCATGGCTATGGTCATTGATTTATGCCTTTGAGGAAGACATGTATGAACTTAAAGCTTTTGAATTCTAAGTTTAAATGTATTCAATTGTATTGAAATTAATTTCTTTAGACAGGGCGTTCTAGGATTACCTACGAAAGTGCAAGCACTTATTTCCGTAGGGTCCTTACTTCAGCAGACTCCAGATACATCAATGAGATACAAGATAACCCGGGAACCAGTCCTTAGCTCTTATTTAATAGACCCCTTGGTTCTTTTACATGCTCAGTGTATAGAACAGATACATTCGAGGACTCCCTAGCTTTCATACGAGTATACCTCTAGGTAGGTTGGAAACACTGAAAGTGTCTCAGAAAAATCCCAAGATATTTACCCAGATCAAACTGTTATGTGTTAAGTTGAACGAATTGAAGAAACTTTTTTATGTCGTTTGAAATTTAAGTTATTTATTAATTTTAACTTTGCTTTGCTCTAAACAACCCTAGATAGGGCGGACTTATTACCATAAATAAAAGTGAGTTACTGCATAGGGAAAAAGTAATCTCTTCCTCTAAAATGTGAAATTATATTATGATAATTTTCAGTGAGATTACCAAATATTATTTTCAATGATAAATCAGTTTTCCACACAAAAGCTTAAAATAAAAAAAAGTGAAAAACATAACAACTTTTAATATTTAGCTGGTTAAACTGGATGATGAGATCAGTCTACATACAAAGTTTTATGTTGGTACCTCTCTTGGTTTCAGAGTTATGTTCCTGACAAAGTTCAAAATGTTAAAATGAACAAAGGGCAATTACTCCAAAGTCAGACAAGGCAGAGTTACAGTTCTTGTACACTCAAATCTACTCAATGAGATCTATCAACCTACAAAGGTTCATTTTGATACCTCTTATTGTATCAGAGTTATATCCCGGACAAGAAAAGGGGCGGATAGACAGATAAACGGACATCTGGACGGACGGACAAAGCGGCGACTTTATGCTTAGTACAGAATTATTTTATGCTGCTTTGATAAGTTATTATTTTTGTCAAACATTAACAAAACTAATTGTTTTTAGCTCTTATTTATTTATTCGGTACTTTAAAAGGATCTTTACATTTTATTTCTATTTAAATTACTTCATATGTGCCAATATATGCTTTAATTAAGATTTTAATAATTCAAAAATGTAATCGCAAAATTAAATAATAGACTCACTATCATAATCCTTTGGATTCTATTTCTCTGTTTCCTAAAATACGACATGCTATATACGCTTCGATTAACTACGAGGCAATGACTTTTGTTAACAGATTTCACAATTAAGTGATCGGGTACTTTAATGACCCATGGGAGGTATATAAAGATAATAATCGGAACGTTATTGATTAAATAATTTTGTTACACTGTTCTCTGGTTTACGTTCGATTCCCTCCTCTTCATCGCTTGTGTTGTCATCCAGATAGTCAAGTCCTCTATTAACTATCTCATTGAATGCGGCTATTCGCAAATAAATAATACATATGAAGTTAGAATCATTTAGTTACCTTGACAACGTCAGCAATGTTTCTGACTTACTGAATAACCATAGATGTTATTAATAAATAAAAGAAATTTAATTAAAACATTTAGTCAAAAGTTAAGTTAACAAAGTCCATATTTAACAATCGCAATGACTTGTTAATCATCTATATGATGTATTAGAAATTTAAAGTGTATAGAAAAACAAATATTTAACTTCCATTTATTATACATGTATATAAACTTAGTATATATTTGAGTCCGAAGTAGGATCGACGTTGTAGGGTCGAGTTGGCAATTACTGGAGTCGCTGTGAGGACCCCGAGCACAGTCAAGACAACTTTTTTGAGCATGTACAGAACAAGCGCAAAAGCTCGGCGTCCTCAGGGTATCCTGTAGATGTCGTATAAAGGAGCATAATAATAGTGTTTTACATGTAATTGGCGACTATATGGCGACCTTACGGTGCTTGCAGTCCTTCCAGGTAATACTACTATAACGTTTCAAGGACGTTCTTGCTGACGCCGTCAGGACGTCGCATGAACCCCATGATCGTAAAGTCGTAATGCATGACGGTGTGCCTTGTGACATAGGTATTACTTTTAAGATTTTATTATATTAATTTGTATTTGAATATCATTATAACATTATCAAACTAACGCTACCATGATTGCCGTTTTGTACACAAAAAGGAAAACAACATATTCAAGCTATACTCGGTGGTAAACTCGATGGTGAACTCGATGATGAACTTTTACTTAACATATTAACATCTTCTAGTAATATTCTTCTAAAGAAGATGATATAAAGTCTTAAGTTCCGTGTTTACAAATTTTGTCAACCATGAACTATTGCAATACTATATGGCGACAAACCGGCAAATCGGATACCGAAAAACTATATCATATACAAAAGAGAGCACTTATTGTAATAGTGAACAAAATTTGACACCAATATATAGATTAATTGAACTAATGTTAGCTTAAAGCTTGTAATGATTAATATAATTTGGCTCTTCAGTTTATAAATATCTTCTCACTTATGGCCACAGACAAATTATATGAATACAAAACGACATATTTATGTCAGGATACTACAGTGTAAATTGTCGATATCTAAACATATTATAGCTTAACTGAGTGTTACATAGATCTCTACAAAACATCTTTAATTGTAAAAGTTTTGTTAACATTGAAGGATTGCATATACGTGTGTAGTAAAGTACTAATCTTTATAAATTAAAACCTTCCGTAAATGGCTGTGTGCGTTTGTAAGAGTGTTTGTCGTAAATTTATTGATGTTTATTGTTGTGTCTCTTTTCTATTCACATATTTATATATTTTCTCGACAAAATGCCATATTGGAAATAAATTGTACGTTTTAATGAAGTCTAATATGTCACCTTCTCAAATTATAGTTGATTTTATCATTAATATTATCATCATTATTATAAAGTAACATTTAAAATGCTAGTACTTCAAATTTAAAGATATTAGAATGGCATTTATATAAATTTCATTATTAAATACAATACATTTTAATTTAAAATATATACATACCAAATAAAAGAGCATCTCCTTCTAGATTCACTTCACGTTCATGACAGTAATTGATGACAGGGAAAATAATACTTTGTTTAATTGAAAATGTTTTCATGGCCAAATCCATTGAATTTTTAATCTCTCTATCAGAAAAAGCCCGAAACTTAATCAATTTCACTGCTTCATTGTTGACGTCACACTTTGTCAAAATTACAACGAACGGAATACCTGTAAATATTGATAATTTACTTTTGAACAAATTATTTACACATTTAATTGGCTACAACAATTTCACTTCCTTTATCTCATAAATGATAATTCTTATATTAGAAGCAAAAACTAACTAACTTTAACTGTCTGACTGCGTGACTTTACTAAATGACAACATGTTAGAAAATATTACAATCTAGATAATACATGCACCTTCTTTTGAAAGGAATTTCATGATTGCTGATGTATCCTCTTTAATTTTAACAGCCAAACCTTTAATCTTATTATGGTCAAAAACAAAACAGACCACATGCATTTTCTGTTCTCTGGATAGTGGAAGTACACTTTGGTCTATACCGTTTATTATCTGGAACAAAATCACTTAAGCACTTATTAATACACGGTTTATCTAATGCATTGGACATAAAAACTTTAAATCGAGTAAAAAAATCAGAAGTTAAAAAACTTTTTTAGACTACTGAGTGCAGTTCTAATGTGATCATGAAAGGCACATGAAATTATGGTGGCTGATTTGTGCCATTTCATGTTTTCGCCTTGTGACACCGCCAAGCGAAAAATCGATAATTAACAAGTTAAATGGGAGGGGAGCAGAGCGAAAACACGCTAATTAGAGCGGGCGCTGGGCGAAAAGTCGAGATTAAATTGTAAAAATTTATTTTATTGCTTTAGCGCGATAATTAGTGTGCTGTTGTATGCGCCTAGCAAAATTATTTTTAAAAATCACAACTTTTCGCTCCGCGCCTTCTAATAAGCGTGTTTTTGCTCCGCATTTAAATGTTTGTTGTAACAGTACTCCTTAATTTTACGTATTTTCGTTTTATAAATACTATAATACATATGTATCAGCTCGGGCTCGGTTATAAAAGAAGCTTTATTTTATTGATTTGTTGAAACCAAAAGCCTCAGGTGATAACTATTAAAACAATTATGAAAGACTTATGATTATTGTCATACATGATGTGAGTTTAACAGACTATTATCATTTTAATCACAGAAATTTTCAAAAGGTCTTTCACTTATCTACAATAGAGAAACAGGACTGTTAAAATATTTTATACCTCATATTTGTTCGGCACGTGGCCCTGTAAAATGATCTTTATATCATTCACTGTTATCCCCTTTTTTTATCTGCAGCCCAGGGGTATCTCCAAAGTACACGTTACTGTTTGACAGATTTTCTGATTCACCTTTGTACTTCATCAGGTACATCTGAAACTGTGGTTACCAAAAGAAACATTTTGTAGATTAATGCTATGTGAAAAATTGATGTTTTCCTTGGTAGATGCATTTAAATGATAATTCTAAACTTTCAATCTCGTAAAAGACACATTTTGTAATATATGAAATAAACATCTTCCTTAATATACAAATATATAATACCTTTTCTGTAGTAGAAAACTCCTTATCCTCTTCAGCGGCAATACGTTCACCAACAGCTCTTATCACAATTTCATCCCTCAAAGCTGAAGAAATTGAATCGATAAAACTGGACTTACCAGAATGCGTCGGTCCGACAACAAGAACACGTAGCTTACGACTCTTTAAACTCTTGAAATTTACCATGTAATTTCATCAGTGCTTGTTCCTTTTCATTTACATTTTTCTACAGATGACAACAATAAACAAATAAATATGTAATGTAAGATATAACAAAAAAAATATAAAAAAATAATAATTATAAAAAAAATAAAAAAAGAAATAAAACAACATTATACTAGTAATTTTAAGATGTTACAAAAACATGATCATATTGATCACCATCATCACCATCATTAACACTGTTCCCATGTTTATAATGAAACATCTCGTTTGTACAATACTCTTAAGACTCAAATATACGCTTTCAAACTCTAATGTAGAAACGTACTACGAGTAACACAAATACATACATACATACATACATATTTTAGGGATAAAACTTACACGTAAGCGTTTCTCTCTCTCTTCCCATTCATCAATATGTTTTAACAGTGCTGGAAAGAGAAATGTTATTGCTAAGATAACCATCAGAAGCAATGAGAGTTATGAACAAAAGATGTTTTCAAGCGTGAAGACAAATATTGGATGTTCTAAAAAGGAGTAGCTTTGCAAAACATCTTTTGTTCATAACTCTATGTCACTATAATGTTTTAGGCATTTTAATCTGAGTAGTGATCATTTTATATTTTTGTAAGGAACATGTATATACAACAAATACTATTGCTTAATGAGTGAATATTGAATCATGTTCTTCGATTCTTGTGTGATCGGATTAAGTGAATTTGAGCATTAATATGCATGTTTCGCTACACTTGGATCTTAAGTTATACAGTTAATATAAATGAATAATTGACCTTACACATTTTCGTCAAAATATGTTCTTGTCATTCTTAACAGTTCTGTCATGTGCCTCACATCACTAAAAGACTTCATAATATTCAATTGCATCTCCTTGACCCTTTCCAGCAAACAACAGATAAGAACCCCCAACATAATAGACGTAAGAATACACAAAACGGATGCTTTAGTTCGATCTATCCTACGCTAAGAAACTAAACATGTGAACTCACAGTAATTCAAGGATAGGAGTTGTTGACTATGTTTGTTTTCAATATGGCACGTAAATATCCACCAGACTATGTAAATTCATGCATTTAAAGGTGAACAGTACATTTTCTATATACTTATTACTTTTTACGCTACACCAACACAATTTAGGTCACATGACAACGAAACATTAAAGATGATTTGGCTTACATTGAGTATTATAAACTTAAAGCTTAAATCAGCATCAGATGTCAAAAGCACCTCATCTGCCGGAGGTAAGAGATGCACAGATTCCAGTAATTCGAACCCATTCAGTCGCTTCTCACGAAATGGTGGCTGCAGGATCTGATGTCTCAACCCTTAAAGGCAACCCCTCAGCGCAAGCCGGTCCTTATTATTTTGATTGTAGAAGCCGAAAGTACAGAATGTCAATTATTTATTTGTTTATAATTTTACATCAGCGGGCATTTTCGAATTAAAAATGGCTGTGAGACATATTTTCAAAAATAATTATACCGAAGCAGACTTTATTTTCCTTTGGATGCCAAATGTATACATTCGTTTTTATATAATAAAAGATTTAGTAACAACTGAAACCATGTGGTAGAACTCCTTTCAATCCGTATTAAGTCAGAGCTTATTATGAAACATAGCCAAGGAGTTACGATTTTATAATACTGTTGTTTTGCTTCCGAGGACTTTGCTTGTTACCTCTATGTTTTTGAAGGTAAGCTTTTGTCAGCGCCATCATTTCGTGTATGGCTTGTAAAGCTAAAATGTTCTTTCTTGGACTTATCGTTTGCTCGTTGGTATAATTAACAACTGGAAATACTTGACTCAAATATATTCCGAAGTACTGCGATATTGCCTTAGCAGCAGATTTGGCCTAAGGACTTCTATAAAGAAAGCTGGCATCTTCAGCTATCAGAAGACACACTTCATCCAATTTCGTTGCAACCACCGCCATTGGTAAGCCTGTTATTTTAAATACATATTTAAGAAATGTATCCACTTCAGCGATTTTATTGCCTATATAAAATCACTATTTGGAGTTCGGATGCGAGGCATTATGACTTAAAGCTGCCAATTCGAACGGTAATAGCGATTAAATCACTGGTGGGAATTGATATTTCGATTCTAACGCAACATGCTGCCGTACCTGATATCGAAGTAACTAGTGCCATATTTTTTTCTGTACATATGTCTAAACATAGATCGTCTATGTTTACCAGGGTGTCAGCCAAATCGTGAGTTAAATAAAGTTGTCTTATTATTACAGTATTGTTTTTCTTTGTTTTACAGAAAACTTCTGAATTAGATAAAAGAATAAATTTTCAATGCAGATTGGAATTGATTTCCATATTCAAATTTAAAGAAATGTTTAACAGAAATTCTACTTTTTCAAAGAAATCTTACGATAATTATGTATATAATCAATAAAAGAGTAACAAAACTCGGATGCATTTTAGAACTTATTTCATATATCTAATTTCAACGGGAGTAGGAATCACTCATTGAGAAATTGTCCTACTGAATACTTTAATATCAGAAGATAAACTCTTGTGCATGACAATCCCTGAAGGTCGTAAAATATCATGATGAACTTCTATGAGTACAATTCTGAAGGTCCAAAGATAATCATTTTGTTATTATCAACACACATTTGAACACACATTTCAGCAATAAAAAGTGAAGCACAACGATTGTGCTTTTCTTTCCTAAAAAATCATACCAATATTTGTTTGGTTTTATTTTAAAAACAACTAACAGCATACTGAATAATATCGGAGTTTTGAATCTCTATTGTCCATGCTGTTTTCAAAAATATAACATCAAAGGTGATTTGGAAGTACCTTTGTTATCTACTGCCTGTTTTATTGTTTCAATTTGAGCACGTTGTTGTCCAGTTATCATTTGAAAGTTTGAAATACCGGTAACAAAGCACACAATGTGTATTTCGTCATCCATGGTTCCCTGTTTCAAATTTTCTTGCGGTAGAGGTTGCTGCTTGTCAGGAAACTAAAATGTATTTACTGTCATAAAAGGTTTAGACGGTCATGTTAATGTTTTTATTATTAAGAAGTATATTAAAAATGTGATTTCGGCAATATAAAGTATCGCGTTAAACAATTGATCATTATAAATTATCATATTGAAATAGAGAAAATAAAATAGTTTAGACGTCAATAATCTTCTTTACGATCCGGTTTGACGGATGTCACGATTATTAATTCAAATCAAGCATTTCACCACTTGACGCTAACTACATGTACTTCTGACACATAGTCTTGAGTAACACTGGATCTACAGACATTACTGATGTAATCGATAAACATATATGACAAATACCGTTAGCTGTGTGTCTTAAAATTTACATGATAACATAATCTAGTAATAATATAATAATAAGTAATCTCAAAAATATCATTTGTTTTAAGTATTACTTCGAAAATTACTATGCTTGATATTTGGGCACGTTTTAACCTAGTTTTTGATTATATAGCAACATCGTATGCATAAGTGACAAAAAGACAAAAATGTGCTGCTACAATTTGATTTGATTGAAACACATATATAGAAGTATGAAAACAGAAAAATCAATGCTACCTCACATTCCAAGTGAAAACTCTTAAGTATTTATACCTTATATCAAGTTTTCAGCTTTCCATCTAGCAAATATTCAAGCTCATCGTCATATCCTCTCTCATCTTTAAATCCACGGATATCAAAAATTCTAATCTTCAGTGTTTCGCTTTTTTCTGACCGGAGGTCATATGAATGAATCTTAAATTATACGTGGATAATTGTGCGGTCTTTTTATATACA